GCTATCAAAACGCTCGACATGATCTTAACTTGGTCGAACGGCGGGAATGGCGCGACGTGGCATGGTCAGTAATTATTTAACAATGAAGTAAGCTATTCTTAATGAAATATCAAAATATTTTCGAAACTTATTACAGACAACCATAGAACAATAACAAATGGTAAACACCACAGCGTACACTATTGAGTTATGGATGCACGCGGGAGGTTGCTAAGCACGAAAGAAGCGTAAGAGTCGCTCGAGGCGATAGCCGAGAGCGACTCTAGCTTCTTGAGTGTTTAGCAAACCTCCCAAGTGCATCCATAACTCAATAGTGTACACTGTGGTGTTTACCATTTGTTTTATAACATAACATTGATACATTGTAGCTGAAGAGTTCCCTTTTATTTAACAAATCTTATGCGACCAGAAAAAACAAGCGCATGTGGAAAAATAGTCTTTGCATTTGCTCACATCAGCAGCGTACACCCATGGGAAAATGGGGGACGCTAAATTGAGCAACCAAAGCATGCGCTTTACTTTGCTTATGTTATAAATTGTTTTATCTGCAGATGATGGTGTTGAATTTCTTCCCATGCTTTATGATGGTAATGATGCACCAACAAAGTCCATCACTGTTCATCAAAGTACCATGAGGAAAAACCTCATTGAAATATTCAGTGATCCCAGTATTTCATCCTGTCAACTTGATGTTACTGTCATTGATTCAAATGGCAATGCAGAACAAGGCAAAGGCAGGGGAGTTCTTCTTGATGTGCTTACTGAATTCTGGCAGGCTTTCTTCACTTCACTCACTGTTGGTAGTGCAGAGAAGATTCCTTTTATCAGGCATAATCTGCAGAAACCTGAATGGGAAGCTATTGCAAGAATCTTGGTTTATGGTTACAAGACTGTTAAGTACTTCCCTCTGAAACTTTCTCATCTATTCTTGGCATCATGCTTGTTTGGTGAAGAAAGTATTACACCAGACTTGCTTCTAGCATCATTTAGAGAGTACATTGCAGCTGAAAATAAGGAGGTCTTAGACAAGTGTCTCAGTGATGCTTTCGACCCAGAGGATAAAGAAACAATTGAATTCCTCTCTGCATTAAAGTGCCTCAGGTTGCCCAACAAAAACAACATTGAAACAATAATCATGGAGTTGGCTCACCAAGAATTGGTTCAGAAACCAAGATATGTATTAAACAGCTGGGCCCCTATTCTGGATTCACTGCACTTTGATTACAGTTTTCAAACCCTTGAAGGTCTCAAGGAACTATATGACAGGAAGCGCCCAACAGCTAGGAAAATCAATAACCTGTTCAAGGCAGAGCCATCTAATGATGCTGAACGGCAGAGTCTGGGACATCTTAAAAGGTTTGTCCAATCCTTAGAAGGAAAGGCATGGGCCAAGTTCCTTCATTTCTGCACAGGAAGTGACGTCATTACATGTGATGACATTGAAGTGTCCTTCATTTCTTTGGAAGGTCTCCAACGACGCCCTGTGGCTCGCACATGTGTACCACTGCTAGAGCTACCAACTACGTATGAATCGTATCCAGCTTTGGTAGAAGAATTTACTAATATCATGAAAGAAGACCAAGCATGGTCTTTTGACATGATTTAGGTGTTTACTTGAATGTCTTCTTAGCCTGCATTTCAGCTCAATTGGTTGGGTTTTCATTTGAAGACCTGTGATCTCTAAGCAATGTAGGAGAGGGATTAGTTAAAAAAAAAATTTCTGTATCCAGACCCCATTTGCCCTGCTGCCACCCTTGACTCGCTGGTTCCAATGTGCCAGTTCTGCTGCTGTGAGTCACTGAAAAGCCCAGCCAAGAGAGCATGCCATGAGTGGATTATTAGCAAACTGCACTTTACATTCACTTTCAAGACAGTCCTTCTACCGCTAATTATTTGTAGTCACAAAAACCTGAGAAGGGCTTTTGCAGAAACCATTTCTACAATTATTACACAGCACAGCTGACTTTGTTCTAAGTTTCACAAAATTATTTAGATGTCTATTGCCTGAGAAAGGTTAGTTGAATTTATAAAACACCACACAAGTTGGTTATAGCTTTACAAGAGAAAAGTAAAAACACAAATGACAATTGTCACTGAATGTTTGTCATTTCTTTTGAGCTTTTGGCATTGCGTTATCATTTCATATGTTGAGTTCTTGCAAAACTAAACAAATATGTACCAGTAAATTTAAATTACTGTATGTAATTCATA